TTGTGACCCACAGGGGTGCGATGAGCAACAGCATGGCACAGCTCTTGAAAGATAATCAGTCTGCAGCTGGCATCAAAGCAACAGTACAGCAGTGAAGGTATGAAATAATGAGACCATAGTTAAGGATTTTGAATATCTGGACAGGAAAAGGAATTTGAAACTGAAATATTGTGTGAATAGAGATGGAGATTTTTGTCTGTCTGAACTGGGAGAAGGAGTTGGACTTAGTGATGTTCTAATTACAAATCTGAGTGGTAATTCTAGTTGTGCCCAGAACGATGGCAAATTCAATTGAAAAAGTGGCATATGTGGGAAAAGCAAAGCTCAGCTTTTGGCCATGTTCACACTGTTGATTTACTGTTCATAAAGTAGTGCTAGAGAAGAAAAAACTGATACACAGTCTTGGGTAAAGGGAGATAGATTTCAGTGGAGAAATACATGTTGGTTTTTTTTTTTTTTTTTCATATAGGATTTGCTAGGGATACAATATAGATTGTGAAGAACCAAAAAGGAGGGAAAAATAAAGAAGATTTTAGTATGGAGGAAGGTCCACAAGAAGACAGAAAATACTCGTCAAATGTATATAATGTTATGCTATAATATTTTGAGATAAAATTACTTGAATTGAAGAATAAAAGCTGATGGAATGGGTAACAGGTTAAAGTGTAGGAGGAGATGGTTGTAATGGTTGTAAAAATCATAGTTACTGAACCAGGAGGTGAGAAATGGAGGTGTTGAAGTCACAAGCATGCATTGTCTTGATTCTTAGTAGGATTCATGTTTAATTTTCTCTGCTCTGAAGAAATAATAATCTTAACTTAGTATTTTAATTGTTGTTTTTCACATTCATTTATTTACATGTGGAAGATAAACTGACAAGTGTTTTCTTTCTATAATTATGAGTCATACATATTAAATTCAGAAGAAACAATTAAATCATCAAGCTTCATCTGCTGTGTATCCTAAACTCTCAAATTTCAGTCAATAAAAAAATTGTGTTGCACTAAAGCATAATTCATGTTTGGTTACAGCACTTCTTTCAGAAAACATCCAGTCTTGCTTGAAGGTATCAGTGGATTAAAAATCCACCATTTCCCTGAGAGTGTTACAGAAGTTAACCATTTCCCTTCACTTCTGTTAAAATCTTTTAAAATGGGAACTTTTACTTCCAGATAGAATCCACCTCTCTTCAGTTTCCATCACTGCTTCTTTTATATTTTTTGTCGTTAAAGAGCCCTTTTCTATCCAGCACTTTATCCAAGTAAGATGGTCTTAAACTGTAACAAAGTCACTATTCAACCTTCTTCTTGACAAGCTGTACAGATTGTTCTTCAAGTCTTTTGATGTAATAAAAATTTCAACAGCCTTGCAAGTATTCCAAAGGGGATAGAGGAATTATTTCTGCATTTTTTTACTTCCTCTAAAAATCCAATTGCTCTAGCTAAATACACTCTTCTGGTATTTGTCTCACCGATGCAAAAGTTACAGCTCTTTCTCTTGTTTCCTCCTGTTATTCCTGGTCTTTGATGCACTGCCTTTGTTGCTCCTCTTGGGACTTCCCAGTCTAGTTCTAAGGCCACTCTGTGATTTCCAGTTCACAACATTTACTGGCATATACGAGAAGAGCAGCTAGTTAGCCTTTCTTTTCTTTTACCCACCAAATCTGAGATAAAGATACTTTTTAGAGTCAAATGACATTGATGCTTCTATGACAGTGATGAGGAAGGCTAGATTATTTTCTGCAGGGTGTTGTTTGGAGCTGAGACTCAGCTTGGAAACGAAGATCAAAAGTGAGGAAAAGAGTATTGATTGTGTAGATTGCAACAGTAATAATATCACTAATAATATCAGTAATATTTCTTCAGAGTCATTTTTTAAAGAATCTGAAAATAATAATACAGTTCAAGACAGATACTTAATTGTAAAAAGTAAAAAAGATTATAAATGAGCCAAGTGCTGTTCTAATTGTTTCTGTTTTGTTGCTTGCTCACAGTCTTCCAGAAAAACAGTGGAAGGTCTGTCTAATCTGCCACTGAAGTATTTGAGATAAAGTACAAGCCTGTAAATGCACCCCAGAAATAAAATATTTTTCAGGTATAATTCTAATATATAGGAAAATTCAGGAAGCATTTGATAAATCATTCAAACCAGAGTCCCCAGGAGGAACGCTAAATAAAAACAATTTCAGTCTTATATGTTCATTTTTTGTAACGATTTTACAATAGCTGATACAATACCAGATCCTTACAAGGTAGTTTTCGAAAGCATGAACATCACTGCAGTACATAGCCTTCCAGGAAGGTTCAGCTATTGCACCAAAACATGCAAATATCTTACACATTGTGTTAATAAAACAGGAAAAAGCATCAAATAAAACAGAGAGACAGAATATTTAGATGTCACCATCAAATGCTTCTTTGTTTACTTTTTTGTTTTGAGAATGACATTTCAGTACTTTTCTTTGAATAAACCAGATAAAGGTATTTTTAAGATCCTTTTCATGATCCAGTGATTGACAGGTAACAACTCTCATTATTGTATTTACCAGCAAAGAGCACTGGGCTCAAAAAATAATTATATTAAGATCCAGAAGGAAGATACCACTACATCTGTTAATTTTGCAGTCATCTCTAATAATTTTGATTCCTCTGTGTGTAGTATTATTTACCATAATAGAATGAAAACTTTTGTGCAAGTATTTAACAATTCCAGACCTAAAGCCAGCAATCTCCAGCCATAGAAATGCCATGTGATCCATGTGGTCATTCCTCTGACTACAAACCCATAATTTGTAACTCTTGATGTCCCTTTATTTGTGGATCTACTCTCAGTGATGATGCATGATTTGTGATATCACCGTATACACAAAGTTAGAGAGAAGATACGATTTGTGCTACAGTTTTAACCAAACACAATACAGTGATTCAACCCATGCTTCTTTTCCATCATAGAGAAGTATGGAGAAACGTCTCAAACGCTGAAAATCTTCAAAACACATGAAAAATTCTTAAAATTGTTCTGTAATATTGATAGTAGACTAAGACTAGTTTAAATTTAAAAAAAATCAAATTCTACGTATGACACTAGGTAGGACTAATTAGCATCACAAATACAAGGTTGAGGAATAACCAGCAAGTAATTCAAGAGAAAAGGCTATGGTGGTGTTATCATACATATTAAAGATGAAGGAGTGCCATTGGGCACTGCTACAAATTTCATTTTGGGATGTATGTACAGGAGTGTAGTATGTAAGTTATATAAAATAATCATTTTACTGTACAAAATATCAGCTGGAATACTGCGTCAAGGACTTCACTCTTCAGGATGGATATAGATCACTTGGAAAAAATTTCAAGGAGAACAAGAATCATCTAGAAAAGATGACTTCCAAGGAAAAACTAAAAAGATTGAATGCATTTGTGTGAAGGAAACTTGAGGGAGAGACAAAGTAAATTATCTTTAATATGTAAAAGGTTGTTGCAAAGCAGAAAGGATCAAATTGTTTGTCTTTTTCAATGGGGTTAGAAATGTTTGCAGTAGAGCACAGCAAGGAAGAATTATTAGAATCAACAAATGTTTTCACAAACAAGTCATTCTACTAGAAGATATAGGACCTGAAAAGTATTTGAAAATGTCAGCATTTATAGAACACTTGGTGCTTCCATTGTTGATGGACAGGGAAAAAAAGGCTGTTTACAATGATGATGTAAGTTTGTTAACTGACACTGTGAAAAAATTCATTTGATGTGGTCGCACTAAAAATCACATTAAGTCATCCAGCTGATTTTCAGAGGTGGTAGCATCTTTTGAAATTCATGTTCCTTGTACTTCAGTGTGGTATACAAATGTTCCGTGTATATCCAAAAATCTTTTCCTGTCTTCTCTTAGTTTGGTTCTATGCTGAAACTATCGTACAGCCATACCTTTAGATTTACAACCTTAATTTCCCTTCTGGCTATCACTGAGAATGGGCAGGAAGGAAGGATGAATGAGCAGCTTTCTTTTATTTTCTAGGGTTTTTTTAATCTTGTCTTGCAATAAGGCAATTCTGAAAAGCATTCTGCGTTTAGAATTAGGCTGAATTTCATTTCACAGTGATCTTGTCAGTCATCTCTTTTCCTTCCTATTTAAATCTCTAAATGAAAGCTGAACAGACTCCCTTCCTTAATATGATAACTCCATTAAAACATATAAAGAATCTAAGACTCATAATTTCCGTTTTCTTTTCAAGAGAGGAAATAGGGAATACTGGGTCAGTGCAAATATTTTTTAAAATATAGATGGTCCCCTAACCTAGCAGCTGCTATGCTGGAACAACCTTGATACCTGGGCAGGAAAGATCAGTATCCAGCTAGTATTTGTTGCTCGTTGTATACTTTCTTGTAGTGTTACAGAGCAGCATTTAGTGCTTCCTTACGCAATTTATGTGTGTTAGGTATAGTGGTCTGAAGATAAACCATGGTCAGAGAAGTGTTTTTAAATTCTTGGGAAGACCTATGCAGTGTGTTTCAGTCCCTATTCAAAAGAAGCATTGAGCATAAAGTAATTATTTCATTCTTGTAAATAGTGTTCTGTGAGCACCTCCAGATGTCTGGCAGACCCCACCTGATATCCTTTAAAGAACAGTAAACTAATCTTCAGTGGTTTATATGTACTTCTTGAAGATTTTTATTTATAAGTTGCCATGGAATCATTCCTTAGTTACATTTTGGTTTTTCTTCCCTTAAAAGAAAAATTAAAAACATCTTCTTTTAGCTGTATGATATTTTGTGATCTGGTTTTGATTCTCTATGTCTTATGTATGCCTAAGTTTAACTAATGAGAATGTTCATTCACAGGAATTACCAGAATTAGAAATGTCAGTATATACAGAATTGTTCTTCAGCTACCAGTTGAATACCAGCTATTCAATTAAACCAGTCTGAAAAGCTTACTTAGTGTGGAACATTCTGTACCAATGCCTGAATATTTTTTTCTGAAATTGATGTCATTTCTTGTAGGCGACTAAATAACAACGAATTTTCAGTCCTGGAAGCTACTGGAATCTTTAAGAAACTTCCTCAGCTGCGTAAAATGTAAGTGCAACTTCAGTGACCTTGTCTATTCAGATAGCACATTAGCTCCTTGCTGTGTTTCTCCACCTTTCTTAGTTCTTATCTATAAAAGATTCAGTATATTCTAATCAAAAATCAAGAGTGGGTTTAAATTAATCACTGAGGTAGACCAGAGTTGGCAGCTCTTCTTTATGGGACTAGGCACTGCCAGTAACAACTTCTCATGGTGTATAGCTCAGGCACCTTCACTGCAGTGTCCAGACAGCTGGTCCGTTATGCAGCCACAGCAGGGAGCTCACAGTATAAACTGCTCAAAAAAGGTTCCAGTAATCTTTTGTAACTTCCTGTACTACTCCCTAACCAGGCAATTTTGCCTCTTTCAGCACATTCAAGACATGCCTTTGATTCTGTGCTTCATTAAACTGTCATTAGATGAGGGGAATATCAAAATTAAATGACTGAGAAAAAAATGGTTTGATAGCTCATCCGTGTAAGTCCATGTTCACAGTTCATGTTCTAAGAGGAGTTTATAATCTTACCAGTTGCAGTTGTTACTAAAAATAAATCTATGAAAAGCTTTTATTTCACTTATGTAAAAGACATATTTGAGGATAGATCATTTAGTTAGACCTAGTGACTCTGTGCTCAATCTTTTCAGGATTAGTTCCAAACATAAATAGTAAGTGAAGAAAAATGCAAGTAAATATAGATCAGATTAATGAAAATGATGCACTGCTTTTTGAATGTAGTCACCAAGTTACTACCATTTGTAAAAGGCCAGTCTAGATTACTAGTGACCAAAATCTCAAGGGCAGCAATAATTATTTAAACTATTGTTAGCCTTATTCAGATCCTTGCTGGCAGCTGTCATGATCACAATTAGTTAAATACTTATTACTGATTTTTTTAGTTAGCAGACAAAGGTTAAAAAAACAAAAACAAAAACCCAAAACAAAACAAAAAACAACTTTGCTTTTGACCTATCCATTTGAGTACACGTTGCCACCTCAGATTGGGCCGAGATCCTTAAAAAAAGAATGTAGGAATGTCTGGCACAGCAGTGTTCTGGTGCTATACAGTAGATACACAGTTTTCTTCATTCCTCAAGAATCTCAGATTAGCACTTTTTACAGCTACAGAGTGCCTTTAAAGTAAATAAAATACTTGACATGGCATACATACACAAGCACACACATATATCAGTTCTTCATATTTAAGAAAAATGGGGAAAAGGGAATATACTGTCAGTAATTACATATTTTCAGGCTATAAAGGTAGCTTAGTAAACATTTCATGTCATCTAAAGCTAGTTTACTGTTTTTCAGTTGAGGAGGTGTTCAAGACAAAAGAAAGAAAAGGAAGAATATTAATCAGTCTTAGTGTAGCTGTCTGCTGGAACTCCCAAGGGTTTTGAAGTCTGGATAATTGAGGAGGAACAAAATTGAGAAAATGTTAATGAAAAGTTAACATTTTTAATAATACTGCTTAATAACTTCCTAATATAGTTATCAGTTGTTACAACATTCTTCAATTTAGAGAATAATGGTGACTGGTTAAGCATGACTGGAAAGCAGTGAGGTAGTGATGTTACAGAAACACCAATACGAGTGAATTCTGTATTTTTGCAGACCTCGTATTTCTTCTGGAGGTTCAAATAGGCACAAAGGTCTTTTTGCACAGACGACATTGAAAAATGGGGGCCTAAATGTTTAATTGATTTGATGGTTCATCAGTAATAAAGCACGTGTATGTACTGCATCATTGATTAGCTATGCAACATTAATCCTTAAAATACCCCCATGAAGTGGGTGAAGTAGTATTCACGTTACACCAGGAGCAAATAAGATTTTAGGAAACTAAGGGCTTGACATGAATAAGCCAGCTGAGATGAGAAATAATGAGTTTATTGCTTCCAATCTTGTGCAGCACCTTACAGGAGACTGAACAGCTCCACTGTGAAACTAAATGAAAGCGATGATTGTATCCTTCATCACAGGCAAGGTGTACGTTAAATTACGGCTAGGCTAGAGATGAGTAGTCAGCACTAAAGATTAAGCCACAACTCCTTGTTTTCTATGTCATATATAATGGCACCAGTTCATTCTGGCAAGTGTATGAATTTTTGTTCTAACAAGTAGTATCTTCTTGATTTGAACCATTTGCTGTTCTAGAAGTTGCATCAAATAATGTTTCATTTTCTCCCCAACACCATTAATTCCATCAAATAAAAAGGTTTTAGCTTCACTTCATTTTACATTGTGTCAGAGCATTTTTAAGAGCTTTTTAAAAATCACTAGTGTATTATAACGCTGTCTAGTGTGTAGATATGTACTTCTGTAATATGTATAAATAGTTACATGAAACAAACAAAAGGAGGCAAGAATAACATGAAAAATCTTTAAGAAAATGTGTGTTGTTGAGTATGTATGCTTTTGTATATATAGTACAGATACTACCCATTTGGGTTGTAATTTCCATATTTCAACACTAAATATTTTGGCATTATTTTAGGTCATTTTCCCACATTTTGATCTGCTTTGCATGCAAATTGCAGATAAATGAACTATCGTGCTTATAAAACCTCCTTTTTAACTAATGTCATAAATGATTAATATTTCATTTATTGTTTACATTCACACATTCCATTTACATATGTTGCTGTTTATACTGTTTTCTTATATTTGTGTCTACCGAGATGAAATAAAGAAATCAGAGTGGTTAGTTGTGCTGGTACTCATACAGTATCATTTTGTTATTAATTCATCTAATAACGCTACAAGGACTGGAGACATGAAAAAAATATACAGTCACTGACAACATTCAAAATTAGGAAAAGATGTTCTTGTGTGGCAGAAGCATGGGCTGTGTAATTGCCTTTATTTAAAAACATCTTCCACAGATTGCTTTAAAAATCTCTACTTCTTTAGTTAGCAGGGCATTGAATTTTGCTTTTATTGGTTCAAAGTTGAACAATGTATTTGTTGCTTTTACACAATAACTCAGTGTCTTGAAATCTATGCAGTCTGCAGCATTTAACAGTTAATTTAGGGTATTTAAAAAAGAAAACATGTTTTTCTCTGTTTCTGTTAATGTGTAATAGAAACCTGAGCAATAACAAGATTACAGATATCGAAGAAGGAGCATTTGATGGAGCCTCTGGTGTGAATGAACTGTTGCTCACTAGCAACCGCTTGGAAAGTATTCGACACAAAATGTTCAAAGGACTAGAAAGTCTCAAAACACTGTAAGTGTAATTATTTGGGTGTTTTTATTCTTCCTTTCTGCCAGGTATTTTTTAAAGTTATATTCTATCTGTCCTAAAAACTTTGATTTTGGAGGATTAGCTATGGATTATTCAAGCATATCTTAGTTTTTGTTCCTATTTTACAAAAAGCTATCATACATTATATGAATTCATTAATTATTAATTATGGATATAGTGTAGCTGAAATTCTTCATTGTGGTTACTCGACTACAGAAATTACGAGTTCTTTAAAATGATGAAGCAGTTGAGAATGGGTAAACATCCAACTGCAGAAACGGAAATGGGAATAATCATCTGCTTCAAAGTAACAGAATTTTGCACGGGAATTACACATTTTACATAATGGAGTCTGATTCAGTTCAGCTCAACCATTACTGGGAATTTTGCTAGAGGAAAAAATCATTCTGGTGGATATTGTAAAGTGGGAAATGATTCTCTCCTAAGTAATTTTAATGTCATTTCAACAGTGAAGGGAGGAGTAAAAGCACTATAGCTTGAACTCATTTCATTCTTTCCACGAAGGCAGTTTAGCTCTTTCCACTCAAAAAAAGATGTTTATACAATCCACAGCTTCTTGGCCTTCTTCAGAGAGCCTGTCCTTCTGATCAGCAGAGCACAGCCAAGATTGAATGGTCTTTGGGGCTTCAGCTGTCCATAGACATTAGGTATTTTTAATAAATTTAAAGCTGCTAAAACTGTTAGAAGCAGCTATTTTTAGACAAGAATGTGGGGGAAAAATATTCATTTATTGATGGACAGGTAGGAAAACAGTGAACTTCAAAGCTCGTATGATTTACAGAAATAGAAAAGATTTTAGAATAGGCTTAGTGTTCTGAAATTTTTACTAAATCTTAGAGTCATGCTGAGGAGGAGTCAGGGTAGCCTGATTTCATTTAACTTAAGCGCTTGAGAATGTAGTAGAAGTGGTTTCTAGAATTTATCCTAAGAACATTTGGGTTGAAGGGGCCTCAGGAGGTGGTCAGCCGGTACAACCTTCTGCTCCATGCAAATAGCAGTTCTGGAGTCGTTAGGCTTGGAAACATGAAGAGGGGACTGCTGTGTATCTCTGATTTGGGGAATTTCAATCAATTTAATTTATTGTCCGTTAACAAACTCATAATTTCTGATTCTGGTATTGAAAGAAAAAAAACCCACACATGCTTAGAGGAAACGCCCCTTGCCTCTGCAAAACCTATCCACCCACCTTTCTGTTTTCCAGTCCCCTCCATGCACACTGCACTCAGTCCCTTCAGTCACTGCACGTGTGGTTCCTCCACCGGCAGCAGTCCTTCCGGAGTCATACCTCTCAGCCCCTGCTCAGGACACCACTTCAGCTCCGGCCCCTGCTCGGGCTAAGCTAAGAAATGCTGATCCTTCCTTTCTCAGGATGCTGAGGAGCAACCGCGTGAGTTGTGTGGGAAACGACAGCTTCACGGGCCTGAGCTCAGTCCGCCTGCTCTCACTGTATGACAACCAGATCACCACCGTGGCACCCGGCTCCTTTGATACCCTGCATTCGCTCTCTACATTGTAAGTCACGTTCGTGTTTTACCTTACCCAAGTTTAAACCTCTAACGCTTTGGGGACATTTCTGTTAATGGTTTACTGTATAATTTCACCGCGTGAGGTGAAGTTAAGGGAAAAAAGAGTTCATAGAGGGATTTTTAAGAAAGTTTGTTTTCTGGACCATCTTGGACGCATGAAGAGTTTGTTTTCATGGTGCCCTTTGATGCAGTGTTAGACTGGTTTCCAGAAATGCCTGAGAAGGCCGGAAAAATGTCCTGGTCACCCACCTCACAGAAGCCCACCGATCTGAGCCAGGGTAGAAACCCACATTTTGGGTAGGCTTCGCACGATTGCAGCTGGTTGAATCACCATGTTGTCTGTCTTTCTGCACTGTGCCGTCCAATTATCTTAAATTTCCTCTGCCTACTGAGAATCTTAATTCATACATGTTTTATAATGAAGCTTCAGTCTCATTTTCTATAAAAAGAAGCATCCCTTATTTAAATATGATGTAATTTAAGGGAAGGGAAAACGGTGAACGAAGCTGCCACTCAGTTTACTGAAGAAATGCTTTTTGTAGGTAGCATCATTCAGGAAAGTACTTAATCCCCTTTTTACATAAAAAGTGACACTTCACACCAAGTGACTAATTTGTGCATATTAAGGATGGCATGTTTATAAATAATGGAATTGTCAATAGGTTTGTGCTGAAGTAAGGAGATGCCAAAAGTACTGAGACTTCTAGATGTAAATTCATTTTTATAACTGGCATGTAATCAACTTAGCTGTCACTTCAGATAGGAAACTTATTCTCTGGAGCAAATAAAAGATGGAAATCTTGAGATGACAAATTAATGGAATAGCTGTTGTCAGGTTAAAGCTAATAATGTAAAGTAATCAGCCTTCATCTCTATATGAAATTATTGCATTATCAGTACAGAGTGGCTTGACAAGAAGTCAGCTCTTTGACAGTTTTAAATTATTTCTAAACGAGTTATATCAAGATTCACCACACAGAGCCTAAATTACAGCTTTCACCTATAGTTTGTACATAGTATTGTTTGAAGAATGGTATTTAAGCTTAGCTTTTTGAAAATAGAAATATAATACTGAGGATGAAAAATCAGTGTCATCCGAAGTAAACTTTCCTGTGATTCTCAGAAACCTCTTGGCCAATCCCTTCAACTGCAACTGCCATCTCGCGTGGCTTGGAGACTGGCTAAGGAAGAAACGCATTGTGACGGGCAACCCTCGTTGCCAGAAACCCTACTTCCTCAAAGAGATTCCCATCCAGGATGTGGCAATTCAGGATTTTACATGTGATGATGGTAAGAAAATTAATATTTGAACTTTTTATAATTTCAGCTTTCATACGTATAGCTGCATGGTTCCCACAGATCCCAAACTGTTATGCTTTAAATAATTTCATCTGCGCATCATGCTCAGTTTCTACGTCAGTTTAAAAATCTTCCACCCATTTTTGGACGATCAGCAAGCACACGGCTATTGTATATATGCTTTCTTGCCTATGTTCAGAACTGTAAATCATAATTTAGAGATAATATAGAAATTAAATAAATTGATCAAATGTTGTAGTTCAGATGAGAATATTTTCAAATGTTGATGCTTGAATCAAGCACTCTTTCAGGTTTCTTGATCAAATAACATGCCATTTTGCTTAGTTTGTGACTTCCTGAATGTCAGAATTCCCCTCAATGCTCAAAAAACCGATGGCTGCTATCTTGCATCTCTCTCATACATGCTTCCATTTGCTGCATTATTAGTTTTCAATTTTCAAGGCTGTAACTTTTCTTTAAAATGAATCTGTTTCTTTTTAATAATTTGTTAATTTTGAAAATCAACATACATTTTGCTTTATTATCTTTCATTTTAAGTTTTGTTCTTTCTTTAATGATCTTTTTTTCCATGTAATAGCATTTTTGCTAGTAAAACTACATAAAGCATCACTTGAAATATAAATTCTAGGAGCGATGGTTTACAGAAATGACTTAAAGTTTTCCCTGCCAAGAGATACCATAATGTAGAAATACCATGTTTGCTTATGGGAATTCCAGGTGGGATATTATTGCCAATACTGAAGTGACATTTGTATAGCAAGCTTAGCATCTGTTTGTTTTTATTAACCAGGAAATGATGACAATAGCTGCTCTCCATTGTCCCGCTGTCCTGCAGAATGTACTTGTCTAGACACAGTAGTTCGCTGCAGCAACAAAGGCCTAAAAGCTTTGCCCAAAGGCATCCCAAAAGATGTAACTGAACTGTAAGTGGCACACATTTTTCCCTTTTATGAAAATCAATGTCAGGTTCAAGAATGAGGGGAGAAGGAAATGAGGAATTGGATTCAGTAGATCAGTTGAAATTTATTAATATACCGCTTTATAGATATAAAGACTTGCACAGTATCTTGAGAAATTTGAGGTTAAGTTTGGATTAGCAATAATCTCTAATTCCCAAAACACTCTAAGAACTGTTACTGAAAAGCTTTAAAAATATATGTATATAAAATTGTAATCACTCTCAGAATTTATATCCCCAACACTGAACCATCGTATAACTGAACGTGGATATCATAGAATCATAGAATGGTTTGGG